CCCGGCGTGAGTTTTAAGCCACCGGGTCTGGGACACGAAACGCGGTCGACTACGTGGGAGTCCAGAGACAGCCATTATGCTAACTGCTGGTCCCGGGAAAGGTATTTTTTGGTAGACTTAGTTGGTATTTCTTTATTAGACTAGTAGCTAAGGTTGTTTGAGTTGACTGCTTTAGTTATAGGATTAGGAGAGATCTGTCAATTTACATTCAGCTAATCTCACACAAAATTTTATAGGAGAAAGCAGATCTATGTGTTTTGATTTTATAGTTCCTTTCCTCTCCACAATCTTCCCCTACCTCAAATTAGCTCAAGGAAAGTCATATTGATTTTTTTAAAAAAATATTTTAATTTTATTTACTCATTAATTTATGCGCTCGCCAGACAAAGAGAGAGACATAGAGACAGAAAGCGAGAAATCACCCCCCAGGGGGGATGGTCACACTGCAACCCCTTCTCCTCCATTCTCCCCTTGGGATCTTGGGCACGCATGCACATGCGCCCGGCGTGAGTTTTAAACCACTGGGTCCGGGACGCGAACCATGGTCGACTACGTGGGAGTCCAGCAACATAGCCATTACGCTAACTGCTGGTTCCCTTTTCCCAGTGTTTTTAAAACTCTCTAAAGGAGTGGTTCCTAATCCATCAGTGTTTCAGACTCTTCGCACATCTAATAAATATTATGGAATCTTTCTCAAGAAAAATGCACAATTATCACCCATGTTAAATTTTACACACAATTTTAGGGGCTTCTAAGTCTCTTTCAAAGCGAAAACCTTTCTGAAGCTGTAAGGTATTACTTTAACTCCCATATACCCTTTCCTCTTTCCTCTATCCTCTAGTGGATTTTTATTCAGTGCCCCGAATCTCAGAAATGCTCAATGTGTATATGAGTGGGAAGAGAGAGGGGGGGAGGGAGGGAATCTGTGACTGTGTGAATGACTCCCGTCAATGTGACTGTATTTTAGGCAATACTTTTTTTCCAGCCATCTTTGCATAAGAGACTGGATCAACCCAGTGTAGTCGTTTCAGTCATAACACAGCCCACGTTAGGAGATCTTGGACTTGGGTCATAGTCCCCACCAATGGCGGCTGCAACCCGGCTCCTGAAGTCATCCAACTCACCATAGTCCAGTGCCCGCTGAGTAGCCCTCGCCTTGATTCCAGGGTAAATGGTCTTAGAGGACGCTATGTAGAGATTCCAAAGCAGGAAACAGGCCCAGAGCACTGGGACCATCCTTGTACGCATCTGCAAATAACCAACATTCACGGTTCCTTTAGTATTCCTTTTTGAAAAAAGAATTGTTTTTATTCAACTTATTTATTTATTTATTTATTTATTTAAATTTGACCAGAAAAGGACAAAGTGAAAGAGAGGGAGAGAGAGAAAGTGAGAAAGCAAGCTGGCAGGTCTAGGTCTTGAACCAGGATCAGCCCTGTGAAGAGTCTAGCATCCTTAACCACTGTGCCACCTGCTGGCCCCAATATTCTTTTTTTAAAAAAATAATTTAATTTAATTCATTATTATTATTATCTATTGGACCAGAGAGAAACTGAGAAAGGGAGAGAAGGAAGGTGAGAAAGCAAACCACTAGGTCCAGGACTCAAACCGTGGTCAACCATGTGGGAGTCCAATGCCTTAACTACCATGCCACCTGTCAGTCCTCCTTTAGTATTCTTGACCTTCTCATTGGTTGGTTCCATGCATCATTTCCAGGCTTTCTCATCTCCATTGCTCACTTCCCCAAATTCATTTATCCATCTATCTGTCCATCCTTCCACCCACCCATATATCCACCCATCCAGTAATCATTTATTAAACATACTAGAATGTGTTTTAGGTGCCAAGGATGTAGAAGTGACCTACAGATGACCCCTGACCTCTGCTTCCTACAGACTAGTTCGGTGGGTCAGACACATACACACACACACACACACACACACACACAAGGTCAATACAATACAATACAATAGAACCACTTTTCAGTAAACTCAAAAATTGGGAGATGCCAGGGGAAAAATACGGAGGAGAGAAAGGACTAGGAAGGAGGAGAATTCTTGGAAGTTTTAGAACAAATCAGTAATTTAGATAGATGGTCTTGGTGGCTATGAAACAATCATCCATCTGATGAAAGACCCTGATGACTCCCCTCTGGTCACTGATGCAGTTTAAGCTTTTAGCTTGACAATCAAAGTCTTTCACAACTGCCACCAAACTTCCTTTAGCTTCGGTCCCTCCTTTTCTGCCCAAGTGGTGGTGTTCTGAGCTGGCTGCATTGAGCTATTGGTCATTCCTCAATTTATCAGGTCTCTCTTGCTTGGGGGATTTTCGTTCACCCCCCCCCCAATGTAAACACACATACATACACACATGCTGTCTCTCTTCCTTTCTCTCTCACTCTCTGCCTCTTACACACTCACATTATACCTGGTGAATGTATCCTCTGGGACCAGCTGTAGAGGCCTCTCAGTGAAAGGTCCCCTCACTGTGTCATTTTACACTGGGCTCATTCTCTTTGCTCTTACACCCTTTGCATAATGCAGCCACATCCATTTGGCCATTGGACACCTGGCATCATCTGCTCGCAGGCAGGTCTCATTGCCCCTGTTTCATACCCTGGTTTAAGCCTGGTTCACATGGACGTTTGTGAGAACCTCCTACTGAGAACCCTTTGCCCTTTCTAGCACACAATAGCCAGAGTGGTCCTTTAAAAATGAGTCAGATCATGTCACTTGCCTCTCATACAGTGGTTCCCTGTCTTAGAGTAAAAGCCAAAGTCCTTCTACCAGCTATGAGGCCCTCTCCTCATGCCTCTGCTTCATCGCTGACCTCCTTCCTTAGCACACACCCCTGGCTCGTATGGCCCTCACATCACTGCATGTTTTAAGCAACTTGTATCCCAAAGTCTCTGCATTTGCTCTTTCCTCTTCCTGATAGTCTTCCTCAGATACCCACACGTCTAAGTATTTCACTTTCTTTAAGAATATCAAGGTCACTTCAGCAAAGCCTTTTCTAATCACTCTATTCAAAATAAGGAACCCCTTTCTAGGAACCCGTCCGTCTCTATGCCCCATCTTGCTTTATTTTTATTCAAAGTATTTAATACAATCTAGTATAATGTATTGTTATCAATTTTCCTGTTGTCTGTTTCCTTTGCCAGAAATTTTAGGCTTTGTGAGGAAGGACTCTGTCACTTAAGCACCCGACCAGTGATTGGCACACAGCAGGTAATGGGGATCGAATGATCGATGAAATAAATAAATTAATGTCTCTTCCATGAGGCTGTAAATTGGACTATGTGTGCTTCAGGTTCTCACAGTACTCAGGGCAGTGCTTGACCTTAGTATGTACCACCCCTGCATTGTGATCGTCTTCTTGTTTGCCTGTTCCTTCATCACAGGAATCGCGTCTTATTTATGTGACTCCAGAGTCTAAAGTCTAATGCAATGCCTGATATACAGTGGATGAACAAAAAACTATTTAAAAATATTGATTAAATAAACATTCTCTTCAAGGAGCGGGATCACATTTCTTCACTGTTACATGAACAGTTTGGCATATATAAATGATCCATGTACGTTTGTTGAGTTAATAAACTCAGTGATTTAATCCACTCCATTTTCCTGATGGATGAAGCACAGGTACCAATAGCAATAATAGTATGGATTTCTTTCTCTCTTTCTCTGTCTTCTTCTTCTTCTTCTTTTTTTTTTTTTTTTTTTTTTTTTTACAACAATGGTATGGATTTCTTTTCATGAAGACAAGCAAGTAATACAGTCATAGACCTTGTTTCTTGTATTGGGAGTTCACAATAGGTGAGCTCTCACTGCTGCATCCACACATACTGAAGACCCACAGGTAACAGTACCAGTGAGTTAACACACAAAAGAACAAATCAAGACAGGTCAAGGAAGGCAACCAAGTGGAAGTGGTCAAGAATGAGGACGTCTGAGCCACGTGTTTAGACAGAGGGAGGGGTCAGGCCAGAGGGTTGGGTAGGGATCGAAGAGGAACTAGGGTTCAGGAGCTGAAGAGAAACAAGGATTCAGGAGCAGCCTGGGCAAAGGGAAAGAACTCATGGTAAGAGGTGAGAGGCACTTGGCCAAAGAAGGTGAGACGTTTGATTAAAGGGATTGTGTGGACTTAAAGGTGAGGCCATGGAGGGGGGAGTGGGATGATGTAGACAAAAGGGTCTTCTCGAGAATTTGCTGGAAAAAGACAGAGCAGTCTGATTAGGAGAAAAAGTGTCTGTGTAGGGCTATTGCTAGCAAGGCTGTCCTGAGCTTTTGTATAAAATGGGAAAAGACACCCTCTGGAGAGATGCCAGTCTGTTGGCACAAAATGGGGTCAGTGGAAAGCATTTTAGGAAAATCCCACTCCAATGTATGCAGTTTGGTGAGGAAAATGAGGGTTACTCCACGTACTCTCTCGGGCTGGCGTTTTGTTTAGTGCACTGAGTTCTGAACGGGCATGTACAGTGGTCCTGTGCTCCATCGGTGAATGTTGTTTTGGAGGCTCGTGGTCTGCCCTGTCTGGACATAAGTCTGTCTTCAAGTCTGATGAGAGGCTGGCTCAGTCAACTAGCTTGCATTTCCCACTCGGTCTCCAGGACCCCCTGTGTACCTGCTGTCCAGTCAAACTGAACCCCAGGTCTCCGAGTATGCACCAGGGTTCCTACCCAACGTCATTGTTTACTCTGTCCCGTACACCCAGGCCTGCAAACCCTGTGACTCCTTAAGATTCATTCTAAGCAGTCTTCTTTCTGAATATCTTTCTGGTTCCTGAGCTAAGCTTTGTAAACACATTTATTTAATTATTTGTTGTGATTTTCAAGCCTCCCAGTCCGGGATTCAAACTGCAGTTGGTGATGTGGGAATCCAGCCTGAACCATCATACCACCTGCTGGCCCCTGAGCTAATCTTGTTTCTCCCAGAATTCTTGATCAAAATACATACTTACCCATTTTCTTGTTTGTTGCCTACCTTCCCTACCAGAATGTAGGTGCTCTTAAAAAAACAAAAGGGGCTAAAGATGGTATAGGGGTTACGACACTGGGTTCCCACATGGCCAACTGCCGTTTGAACCCTAGACCAAGCGGCTTGAAGATCAGGTCGGGCATGTTTGCATGCACACCTGAGACCCCACGAAGAAAGTGGAGGAGAAGAGACTGTGCGCGGCCATCCCCCTTGGGGGGCGGTTTCTCACTTTTCCTCTCGTTGTCTCTGTCTTTCCCTCTCTCCAGGAAGTGTACACACCGTAAGGCAAAAACCTTTTTTAAAAGAATAAAGAATGTAAGTGCATGAGGGCAGAGACCTCATCTGATTCAGAGCCTGAAATACAGTGGGTGACTAATAAGACTTAGTGGAGCCATCCTGGTGGTGACGACCTCCCCATGAGAACATGCCTCTGGCAAAGGACCTCCTTCATCCCTCTCCAGAAGAGGAGAAGAGGAAACACAAGAAGTGCCTGGTGCAGAGCTCGAATTCCTACTTCATGGGTGTGCAGCGCCTAGAATGCTATAAAACCACCACCGTCCTCGGCCATGCACAAACAGTAGTTCTTTGCGTTGGCTGCTCCACTGGCCTCTGCCAGCCTACAGGAGGAAAAGCAAGACTTACAGAAGGGGAGGAAGCAGCACTAAAGCATTCTGACTCAAGATGAGCAGGGAACCACCCCAATAAACACATTTTAGATTAAAAACACACACACACACACACGCACACACACACACACACACACACACACAAAACAGGGACCAGCATTTAGTGTAATGGCTATGTTGCTGGACTCCCATGTAATCGACCACGGTTCGAGTCCCAGACCTGGTGGCTTAAACTCACGCCGGGCGTGTGAGCATGCGTGCCCAAGATCCCGAGAGGAGAATGGAGGAGAAGGGATTGCAGCTTGGCCATCCCCCTGGGGGGTGATTTCTCACTTTCTGTCTCTCTGCCTCTCTCTGTCTTTCTGGTGAGTGCACACACCCTATAGCAAAAACCTCTCCAAAAAAAAATCAATGAATTATAATAATAAAGAGAGGACTAGGCCATACCTTACTTTTAATTATCATAGTTCATTGCAGGGGTTGTTAGCAAAGCATTATACACTAGTGATGTGCAAGCACCCATCAGAATAGATGTTGGCCACAGTCTTGGAGCAGGGCTCAGGAGCTCGGGTTCCGGATCACGGGGAGGGAGGGGAAGTGTTGGAGGAGAAACCACGTAGTGGGGAGTGCAGGG